CTAGCGATGGCTTCCAACCTAGAAGAGATGGTCTCCAACCTAATAGCTGTCCAATTCCAAACCACAAAGTCCGCGGAAAGACAAACAGAAGGACAAACACAAAGCCCACAAAGTTGAGATCCTTGACTGGCCTTGGGGCGAAGCGCAAGCTGGTTGGCTAAGTAGAATGTCATTCACCGTTCAATACATCGTAATCAACAATACATGTCCTCAAAAATTGGTTTATCTATTTTATCAATCAGTACCTGCCAGATTCAGTGATGCCTGTGAGTGTCTGAGTGTGCGGCTTGGGTCCAAGTGAACTTGGTGCGCTGGGAGTAGCTTGCGAAACTTGTGCGCTTGAATCTGCATCAATCCTCACAAGCACTAGGACGCTACTAGGGGCTCCTGGCATCGCTACTAGGAGCGATCGGACGCTACTAGGGGCAAAGGGCATCGCTACATGGGGCAAGGAAGCTACCAGGAACAAAAAGCTACTAGGGGCTCCATGTCCATCATCGGAGCACATGTCCATGGGGTTTTGCATCGGGTACATCACCTCTTGGTGGACACGAATTCAGGGCCCCAAGGGTGGTCATCCCATAACCCAAAAAGGGCCGGAACTGGCAGCTCTTGTGAGGCTAGGAGAGAGGATGCCCTACTCTTGGAACATGCTGTTGAATAAAGTTCTCAACAACCTTCAAACAAGAAGGCGGGTGATTGGAATGATTGTCAAGAAACAAGCTAGAAATCTATGAACTCATCATGTGACACGATATCTGAGACTATTTGGTAAAAGGAACGTATTCAGCAGCTTGCTCAACCTACTCTGTGGCAAATTGCAGGTGGTTTTCTTGGCAAAGTTCGATGGTTCTGTTGCTTTGTTTTCTCTTTACAAACATTCTGTTGGAGACGGAGAAAACGCAATGGTTGGGGAGTCGTCCAGTCAAATCATGCTGTTTGCCTCTTCGGTGCTGGACTTAGCTGGGCCTGAAAGAGGGAAGGACAAAGTGAAGAAAAGCAAAAAATGTTTTAAACTACTCCAGGTGCAATTCTGAAAATTTAAAGTACTCTTCCTCAAGAGTGCTATGAAACTACTCCAACGCATTTTCCTCCAGCGAGCATCTGTTTGATGGGAGGTTTTGTGGCGAACTGGTCAAACATGGCTGGTGGCTCCTTCAAATGTCAATACAAATGGAGCCGATTCTAGAATGTATTGTAAAAAACCTGTCGGTTGCATCAAACGCAAACCAAACAGGAAAAACAAAAACGCAGAAAGTCACAAGAGAATCAGAAGGAATTGAAAGGAAACCAACCAGAAATCTAAAGGAAACAAATAGGAAATCAAAATAAATCAAAAGGAATCAAAAGAACATCATGCTAAGTTGTCTTCATTGTTTAGTCTCTTCTGTTTGGCAGGTGACAATTGGTGGCGCTAGGATAGGTCTTTGGAATGCCCTAATGAGAGGGCTAGGACATGTCCTTGGACGAGCCCGATGACAGGGTTAGACCAGGGCCTTTGATAGCATGATGGCATTACTACTAGTAGCAAGAAGCTACTAGTAACAAGGCACCTTAAAGCTACTAGTAACAGGGCATCTTACTACTAGTAACAAGAAGCTACTAGTAGCTCCTGGCATTACTACTAGTAGCAAGAAGCTACTAGAGGCTCCTGGCCTAATAGGTGGAGAAATGATACAAACCCAGGCCTCCGTCGCCTGCCCCTGCACGACACATGTCAATGTTAGTGGGCTTGGAGCTTTGTCAAGTGACAGAAATGAATCAGACCATGTCACTGCAACATCGAAATGTGGCTAATTCTTTTCAACGAGATAGAGGAAAAAGGCCTTTTCTAAAGCCCCAGAGGGGGGGGGGCAGGCAGTAAAAGGAAGCTACTAGCTACTGGACGCAGGAAAGCTCACGCTAATGACTTGGTTCCTAGGAATGGCCTCCAACCTAGTAGCCTTCTTGTTCCTAGTAGTAAGGCCAGGAGCCCCTAGTAGCGTCTTTGCTCCTAGTAGCGATGCCCTTTGCTCCTAGTAGCTTCTTGTTACTAATAGGAATGGCCTCCAACCTAGAAGCATTCCTTTGTCCATCTGCTGTAGGGCTAGGTGGCCACGAGGAGGCTTACTATTGGGCGGATAGACCCTATGATAGGGCTAGGATAGGTCCTATGATATCCTAGCCTGGTGGGCAGAAAAATTGTAATTTCGACTTCATAAGTTGGCTGGATTTGTGGAACCATGCATCCAGAGATGTTGGTTTTCTCCCGGTCACAAGATTGACGCATGACAAAGACATGGAAGATCAAAGACATGAAACATGTGTCACAAGATGTTGTCACAAGTTCTGTTACATTAGAAGTCCTTCTGATAAGGGGTTCACTTTCCCTGGTGTAGACTCTAGACCCTATGGTCGGTTTTGGGCAATGAAAGATCCTATGATAGAGTGTATGAGAAAATGCTGGAGAAGAAGCTTGTGATCTTAGCAAAGCTTATCTGCTGGCTCCCCAAGACCAGCTTCAACATGACTCCAAACGCTTCCAAAGAGACTCGCACGTGCGTTAATTCGTCAGGAGTGTTGCTTCCAAAGTGATACAAATTTCTAGTCATTGAGTCACGTCATTTCAACTGAAAAAGAGATGGATTCTAGTAGCGATAGTAGCTCCTAGTAGCCTTCTTGCTCCTAGTAGCGATGCCAGGAGCCCCTAGTAGCGTCCTTGCTCCTAGTAGTATGGCCAGGAGCCCCGAACGTAGCTTCCTTGTTCAGATAAGATTCGGTGCTTTGGATTCCCCATCCACCCCATGCACCTGGCACGCAAGGAAACATGCAGGGAGCACGCAAAAACAACAATTCAGCACAGTATCGAAGAAGGTCTTATGACATCAGTTCCGTTTGCCAGAGGGTGGAGGCCATCGCTAGTAGGTCGGAATGCAAGTCTTGCATGTTTCATGGCGTTGACGGAGCTCCACCTGCTGCCATTCCTGCTGATCCTGGAAGAATGTAACATGTAATTGTTCCGGCTCAAAAATGCACCAGGTAAGCAGAAAAACGTCCTGCACAAACGCATCACAGAACGCTCAAGCTGCGCATTTGTCGATCAGTCCTGGAAAGGCAAGCGCAGCAAATTGGCGACACCCTGCCGCTCATAGTCTTTGAGCGTGCTCCTGCATGAAGAAAAAGAAGGGACGAAGCATGGTGTGATGTCGTAGCCACAATGTGAGATGCAGTTGATGTGTGACTGCATGGAAGTTAGCATGTGTGACGACTGAAGATGGTGCTAACGCTTCTTCGCGCGAGCCGTATTGCCTCTCAAGCAGTAAAAGGGGACTGCACCAAGAGTAAAATGAAAACCTGTAACTTCCACATAGCCAGCGCTAAGAACGGAGTACTGCACGAGCAAAATACCTTCTCACCAGCAACAGCAAATACCCCTTCACTATCATTAAAAATGCACCATGACTACGTCAGCAACTGAACAGCCGCTTCACCGGCGCAAGCACACAACACTTGACAGCACTCCGACATGATTGCAGTTGTGCTAGGTAGCAGGTGTGGGTCAACCCTGCACAGGCATCTGCATTCAGGCCAGCAACAAGGTCGCGCCTTAAGAATTTTGTGTTCTGGCGCGTGCTGCACAAGATTACAAGATCCGTCACCATGGCTTGGTGACTTCAGGGCGAGGCCATCAACGATTGAGCAACATCAACATTCTTCCAGGGAAAGGCTAGGACATACCAGCACACCAAGAGACACCAAGCATGTGTGATGTTGAAGTTCCCTTCATTGATCTGTAGCTGGCACCCAGGTGTCCAACTTCCTTAAGGCCTGCCGTTGTCAGCTGAAGCAAATGAGCGCTTTATCCAGAAGACTGGCGAAAAATGGGATGCTGGTCGCTCCTGGATGGATCGTTCCTGAAGGGCCTTCATGCACATCATGTTTATGATCTCATCTGGACTTTTTGATGTGCCATCTGGACTTAGCAATGGAAGTGCACGGAGCATGGAGAGAATGGCCCTCTTATCACGTGAGTCAAAGCACCACCCATTGACTCCCATATTAGCCTCTTCAATACGGCTAGGGGGTTCTCCAACCACAAAGATCGTCTTGTCCCAGTACTTTGCCAGTGCAAGTTCCAGCACACACCAAAGGCGTTCATATAGATTGAGTTCCGCGTCACGGACAACAATCATGGCCTCTGCATGGGAGATGGCTTTGGCAAATGGAGAATAAAAGACATGATCGCCCAGAAGCTGAGACAACTCTTCATAGTCCCATTGAGGATTCGCCAAAAAACAAATCCACACATTCCCTTCACCTTTTGCACGGAAGACTTTGTCAATCGCTTTGATGAGCCTTTTTGTTGAATAGTCCCAAGCCTGGGAAACAAAGTATTTGATGGGCATGCCATGTACATTTTTCTGAAGAGCGTACGATAGGCCGCTCTTCTCCGTTTTCGGAACGATGAAGTCTCGTACCACATGACGCGTGCTGGGATCTTGTTCTCCTGGCCATGTTTGCTCCACCAAACCTTCTAGCCTAGGATTTGGTGCACAAAATTGCACAAATGTTAGTAAAAAAGTAGAACATATCCTAAGTCTATATACTAGCTAGCCAAAAATGTTTTAAAAAAAACACACACAAATAACAACAACTTGATCAGCAATCGTAGAAGCTCATACAATTGTTTTGGCGTGATGCACCACGTGCTCGGATGATGGCTGTGAAAATGCTCCTGTCGTCCTGGCTTCACTGTGGACTCCTCTGGGTCCTGCCTTTCCAACGAAACAGAACTTGACTGCGAAAGCTTCTGCTTGCCAACCCCAAGCATGGCAACAGCACCAACCAGAGAGGCATTTGGAATTTCCTCCACTGAACTTGCTCTGTCTTTCACACACAAATTGTAAGCTACCTGGGCCGCATGATGACAATTTGCCATTCCCAGGTCATATTCACCGGTGGCGCTCATCCGGTGGATGAGCGTACTTAGGCGGGGCGTCAACTGACGCTCTCGGTAGATGTCGTGTTTGTTTAAGCAGCAGTGTTGCTTGATGCCAACACTGGAGCTGGGGTCTCTCCAATCTTTTGGCAAATGCGAAGCATGAGACACCCTGATCCCGTTCCAGGCATCTTCTTGTGCAGACTTCTCGAGGACATAATGTCTTTTCAGAGGCGTTCCACTGATAGAAGGACAGTTGCAAAGAATTTCGACCACCAGAAAGGAGTGTCGAGCGCGAAGAAAGATTCCCACAGATCCTTTGATCTGCGAAGTAAACCACTCGACCTTTACAATATCCCCGGTTTCCCTTTGGGCAGTGGTGATAGCGTCACCAGGGCCGATGTGAGCCTCAGCCTTCACTGCTGCTAGATACCAGCTCTCGATGGCTTTGCGCTGTGTGAGCAGCATGATACCAGTGACACAAAACGTGATCACAAAGAAGGTGAATTTGATCGGATACATGTAAGTGAAGTATACGATGGAAATGTTCAGAAGTTGCAGGGTCCACCAGCGCAAGTTTGCCATTGCCAAATATGACCTTTTCTGCCCAGCTGCAAAACCCAACTCGCTCTGATCTCAAGACGCTGATAGGGTGGAGGCCATCGCTATTAGGTTGGAGGCCATGTCCAGTAGGGTGGAGCATCGCTATTAGGTTGGAGGCCATCGCTATTAGGTTAAAGATGTTGTCCATGACAACTCCAAAGAAACCTTCCAATCCCCGAGGAATTTGTGAATCCTGTTGTTGTCATGCGTGTGCCATAGGCTATCTGCATCGAAGGAAATAGCTACATGTGTGAAATCATTGAATATTTTGTGCTTGAAGATCTTGAGAAGGTAAGCGGGAAATTTGGGAAAGGCCAAAAGAAAGTGCAGAAAACAAAACTCAATAAAAACTAAGCAAACTCACCTGAAACGGAGAGCCCTGTGACTGTGCCAATGAACCCTGTGCCACTCAACCACGGTAGGATGAAATGATAGCTGCTTGTCAGAACACTGATGCTTCAAGCTGTTCGAACCCCACTTTGCTCACAAAAGCACAGTAAACGTTTGGAAGCAAGAAACCACGGGCTGCGTTGAGGTCGTGCTTTCATGTGAGGAACACCATTTCTTGCTCTGAACTCTTTGAGTGTCCTGAGGCCTGCTATTTGCTTCATGCTAGGGATTGGCAAGCGCACAAATCTCGTAAGCCTTCCGATGCTTCGCTGCTCAAACATGAAATGCGTGTCGTTCCTCGTTTAGCTTCAGCATCTTTAAAGACTGAAAGAAACTGAAAGAAAACTCGTAAAAGCTGAGAATTCCACAAGCGGACACCAAAGCTGTGTGATGCAATGGAGGCCTCACAAAGACAGGCGCATGCATGGTTCCCCTGTTTTCAACAAGCAAAACAAACGAACTGGGTCGGGCGCATGCATGCTGAGCCAGACCGCCAACAACAGGTAGATGAAGGCGCACGCATTGGACAGCAAGAACAAAGATAGCAAGAATGGGGGCGCTGAAGCCTCGCAGGTTTCAACAAGCGGTGGTTCGCCAGTACACTTCAGCTGAACATGCAGCTTCGGTTCCACAGCCACAGCTCAATCGAACCAGAAAAAGTGAAAAGTAGAGCGATGGCCTCCACCTAGTAGCTTCTAGTCACTAGAAAGCTTCGTTACTAAGACATACTAAACCTCTGAACTAGGCTGGTCCCCAAAACACTGCCATAATGGTATAAACAACGTGTGGAAGGTGTAGAATAATTACACTGCCTCTATACCCGTTGGACGGTTATCTGAACTACCTGAGGCCACATGAATTGCCAGGAGCCCCTAGTAGCTTCCGATCGCTCCTAGTAGCGATGCCCTTTGCTCCTAGTAGCGTCCTTGTTCCTAGTAGTAAGGCCAGGAGCCCCTAGTAGCTTCTTGTTCTGAGGCCAATTTCGTTGGGCTGTTGCAGAATACAGAAAAGGACAAAGATCGAACACAGCATTGCTGCCGCCTGCACTCGCCCTTCACAAAAAAGGACAATGCAAAACTCCAAGAACAGTGCTCCCACCTTAGCAAGGAGCCGTGAGGGAGCCAGGGCCCTTCGAGGCATTCCAATGCATTCCAAAGCAAACATGCAAAGTAGCAGGCAAAGGGCATTACTACTAGGAACAAGAATGCTACAAGGGGCTCCTGGCATCGCTACTAGGAGCAAGAATGCTACTAGGGGCTCCTGGCCTTACAACTAGGAGCAGGGACGCTACTTGGACGCCAAGGCACCAAGTGATAAACGTCCATCCGGTCCACCGTAAGCTCCACCAAATCTCGCACATCCTTTTCACATCGGATGCAAATATGCCAGAGGATGCCAGAGACAAGGAAAGACACTTTGGCTCTACAGCCTCTCTGAAAAGTTCGAACCGCTTCACTTGCATCTCCAATCGCAAAGCCTCCCAAGCTTTCAACGTGAAGATCGCAAGACCAGCGAACTTAGTCCGGTAGGATCCATGGTTCTCAAGACTGGCCTCGCGCTCAATGCGCTGGTCTTGATCGAACTTGAAATTTTCTCTGTTGTAACTGAAGAGCTCCTGATCGGCCGATCCGATGCAACACGATGTGGGGTCAAAAAGCTGGGGATCAAGGGTGCTCGCACAGCGGGTCGAAGCCGTTTTCCTTCGATGTGCAATATTTGGAGGACATATCGGGCCAAAGCTGCGTCTTGGGGCTTTCTAGTAACAAGGTTCGCTACGTTCGGGGCTCCTGGCATCGCTACGAACGGAGCATTCTTAATGTTGTCTGATCGCTTTGGCTGCGCGATGTGAATCGGTTTCGTGGGCGCAGCACCGTGTGAACCTCTGTGTGCTCTCACCTGTACATATGTGTGCTTGTGTGCATATGTGTGTTTTCAGAGGTGTGCTCTTTTATGTGTGGCTTGCTTGCTCACATACTTGTCCTGTCTCATGTGTGCTCTCATATGTGAGCTTTCATGTGTATGCTGGCATGTGTGTGCTCTAGACTGCGGAAGTTGGCTTATTCACCCTTATCATTGTCTTATTCTACTCAACACTGGTTGGGGTAGCCTAGGAGGGTAGATGGGGCAGAGGGTAGACGGTAGTAGGGGGTGAGTAGTTGAGTATCTATCTTGGACGCAGGCTGGGCTCAAGCTTAATGATTCGGTTCCTACTAGATCAAACCACTTTCAGTTTGTGAAAGACTGACATCCTGTCTCACATCAGATGTCAAGTGATGCATCGTGTCATCCGACACGCAAATCGGACCACCCAGGGCCCTTGCTTTGGCCCCAAGCCCGGCTGCCATAAGGAGCTCCATGGCTGCAAAGTAGAGAGAGAGTCAGAGAGAGAGAGAGAGAAACAGAAAAGACATCTTTACGCTGTGTCGAACCAATGTTGTGCTGCAGTCAAGGTTTTGCAAAGAGCAATGTTTGCCGACAGGACTTTTTAGATGCCTTGCGACTCCATTTGCAAAGAATGTTATTCTGCGTTGCAATATCGGCTGATGGAGAAAATCAAAGCACCGCATCCTTAAACTTATGTTGCTGCTGGCCACCATTTAGCCTGTTTTTTTGAAGAAACTATTGATTGCCTACACGTCACAAATGCCGCATAAGCCAAACCCTGGACAGCACTCACTTCACAAACCTGCTGCAGGTAGCTGTACAGTCAAACAAAGTGTCCCCGCAAGAAGCTGATCGTGGAAAAAAAGATTCCACATTTGCAATGTGCTTTCCGTGGAGTTGGCGCTGAAGATGAAACAGGCGCTTGAGTTACAACCAAAACACCCATCGAGATCTTGTGCGCAGTGCCGCTATTTTTTGGCGATGGGCAATGGCATAGTAGGTTGTAAGAGCCAGGTCAAGACACTCCCAACAGGCTCCATTTGATGTTTGCTCCCGACCTGTTGCTCGCTGCTCTAATTTGCTAACTGTATCCGGCACCTTCAAAAGGTCTCACAGCCTCTAGGGGGCTCATATCCTCCGACAGCATGAAAGCGCACAAGTGGCACAGGCCATGCTTCGGGTCGAGCTCCCAACTCTCAGCGGCCTCCACCCTAAGAGCGATGGCAGCATTCAAAGCACGCCGAGAGGTTCTTTTGCATCGTTGCCCTTTTCTCTGCACCTGTACCACAATCTCTTCGACAGAGCGCGCTACTCCAAGTTGCCAGCCCTACCTAGCGCAGTCGCATCCTCCCACGTCCAAGAAGGTCTCCCTTCAGCATCACGTTTCAACGGCCGCCTCAGCTCCAAACATGTTCCGCACACTGCTTCAATATCAGCTTCATCAGCTTCTATCGAAGCATTTTTCAGTGACTGTGATCCCTAGAGTAGAGCATAGTGTTGAATTCGACTTGCCTCTCCTGATTTGTTGACTCATTATATAGGTGCCCGACTGCCTAAGGCTGCGTAGCTCATAGAAACAACCTGGCCAGCATTGCTTCAACATGACTCAAGATCAGGGGCCAAACCTTCCACGACATAACACGTCAATTGAACTCTCAACGATCGCCGAATGGAAACATGGAAAGCCATCACCCAAGAAAAAGACGTGGACATCAATAAATGGTCTTTGAGACTCTGAGGGGATTCTCCGAAACTCCCCAAGTGCCTTGTGGAATGTAATGCTGTAGTTGCCGTCTTCCAAAAACTCAAGAATCCATTAGGGAAGACGGCAACTCCCATCCCTCTTAGAATCACTTGGAAGAACCCCGTGGGCCGGCCGCGGCCTGGCTAACCAGCATCCTCATCCAGAGCCTGGACGCTACAAACGGAACAAAGGGCATCGCTACGAACGGAGCGATCAGATGCTACGAACGGGGCTCCTGGCCTTACAGATAGTAACAAGAAGCTACTAGGAACAAGTGCATCGCTTCTAGGAACAAGTGCCTTAGTAGTAACAAGGACGCTACGAACGGCTCCTGGCCTTACTACGGAACGGAACGAAGGGCATCGCTACGGACGGAGCCTGCGCAGCCAACCAGAGTTGCTCCTTACGGCGTTGCTCCTCCCGGCGCCGGGAAATCATCAGAATGGTGCTCTTCCTCGAGGGCAACGGTGGGAGCACGGGCCAAACGGTCGCCCACGCGTTTCTTGTGGGTTTTGAGAAGCGGTTGGGCAAGGAAACTATAGGCTTTGGTAGTGTGGTGGGGTAGGTGGTCCCTCCATCAAATCGCCACATGCAGTGGTTTTGGGATGAGGTATTGGTAAAGCCAGTGGAAGGAATACATCCCAACTGAATATAAGACTGAAACTCTTTCCGGAATCAGCCAATGGAGGTAAGGTCATTCTCCACTCGGTGCCTCTGGAGTTCCAGCCTTAAGCGACAGTTTTCTCCAAACCCTTGAAGCCTTAGGGAACCCGCTCTGCAAGCTCTCTGGGCGACTTAACTTTCGTGGTCGATGATCAACTCGCCTCACTGGTTTGGACTGCCCCGGTGGAGGCCTCAAACCTAGAAGCGCTGGCCTCCCATTCTCAAGTTGATAGAGTATGGACAAAAAGGGACTCCTCCTGAAAAGAAAGACGTGTTTCCGTAAAGATGTCCCGTCCTCATAAGTCTTCCCGCCCTTTCCATCGCTGTTAGGTTGGAGGCCATCGCTAGTAGGTTGGAGGCCTTCTAGGTAGGAGGCCGCATCCTTCGCCACGGCACAAGGAGTTGAAACCCTGCTGCGCTGCAATCTCGCAAGCCGTCTCGCCCATCTCGTTGCTGGCACGCCAGACAAACGGGACTCAGACAAACCATGTGTCGCCGTTCCACTTCGAACCCACATGCCCGATATGACCTGGAGGGCTTGAGACACCTCTTGATCCTTGTCATCTTAGTTTGACGGAGGCAGGTGTCCACATGTTTTACATCTACCACTGGAGGTTGCCACTGTTTCATGTAGCGATGCCCTTACTCCTAGTAGCTTCTTGTTCCTAGCAGTAAGACCAGGAGCTACTAGTTGCGTCCTTGCTCCTAGTAGCAATATGTAGCAATGCCCTTTGTTACTAGTAGCGATACCCTTGCTCCTAGTAACTAGAGTAGTGATGAGGCCTGCGCCACAAGCTGGAGCCGCAAGGCACCGCAAGGCGCCGCGTGGCCCTTCAGCCATTGCGAACCTCCCCAAACGCTCCCTCTGCAGATGGTGGCCTCAAGTCAACCTCCACATCTTCCTGCAGGAGCCATGCCACCAAGTCTTGCTGTGCCTGGGCTGATTGGCCAAATCGGCATCGGTCCAAGAACTACAATAAGAAAAGGCTGAGACAACCTGTCTGGCCACACCAACAGTATCCTTCCAGCACCCACCTTTGTTCCTAGTAGCTTCTTGTTACTAGTAATGTTGAATCCGAGAAGACCGAGGACTTGGCTTGTCTGACATGACCCTTTTGCTCTATCCGAATGTTGCTTCCAGTGCTTCTTGGCCCCTTCCAGCTCGGCGAGGCACTGCTGCCAAGGCGAGCATGAGCGCGGAGTTCCTGAGAAGGTGCAGGCTGATGTGTTCTGCTTGAGTGCGAAGATTCATGTGGATTTTGGCGGTTTCAGGGTGATCTTCGATAGAAAATGTGTTGGCACCGTCTCTGAAAAAGAAGGGACGACCGCCAGGACTCGCGGCGCGCGGCGTCGCCCCTGTCTTCGTCTCCGGGCCCGCTCTGCTCGACCTGGTTCACCTCGCATCGGCGCCTCACAGACAGGAAGCTAGTCCCTAGTAGCGTCTTAGGAAGCCTTCATGAAGCCTTGGCAGTGCCTCCCAAAGGTGCCAACAGAAGCCCCTACACCTCTAGCCAATGAAAGGAATCTGGGAAAGCATAAGCTTATCATAAGCTACCAACGGGGGTTCAAAAACGGTCTTTTTGTGGTTGAACTCCTGGTAGTGTTGACTACTAATACTACTCACGAGCCATGTGGGGCATCCCACTGCCCAGAACTTCCAATGATAACTGTTTGCAGTTCATCATCCCTGCTCCTAGTAGCAAGGCCAGGAGCCCCGTTCGTAGCATCCATCACTACCAGGCAAAGAGGAGTTGGTTGAACTGCCACGAAGATATACGTAAATGTTCGACCTGCGAAAACTGCCTCAAAAATGAAGACTTCACAATGACGCGACCCTTCATGACTCGAACTCGAAACCATCTCGAACACCTTTGCTAGTAGTAACAAGTGCCTTACTAGTAGTAACTAAGAAGCTATTAGAAACACCTTGTGGCTTGGCTCCCCTCCTTTTCTTTCTCCGATCACGATTGAAACGAAAAGCTTCTAGCTAGAAGCTACAAACGGAGCAAAGGGCATTACTAGGAGCAGGGACGCTACGTTCGGGGTGCTCCTGGCCTTACTAGTACTAGTAGCGATGCACTTGTTTCTAATAGCAAACATTGTTACTACTAGTAAGGCACTTGTTACTAGAAGCGATGCACTTGTTCCTAATCGCTACGAATCGGTTTCGTGCCTCGCCGGTTGTCCCGTTCTCGCCTGATGAGCTGCTTCGCTGCCATGGTATTGCCCCGCACGCAGGCGACCATCAGCGAGCTGACGCCTCAAAGAGGCGAATGGTGACGGAGCGACCATGGTGACGGACCCATCCGGCGTTGACGAGAGGAATGCCAGAGGTCTCCTGGAAGGTCCCAAAATGTATGCCTGGCATGCCTCATAGTCAAGGAAGAAAGGTCAAGGTCTAGAAGAAAGAAAATTAGAAAAACACACAAATTATATGCTGCAGTTGTTTTTTCTCAAAAATAGCTTGTTTTCTCAAAGAGACATCCAAAAGGTGAGGTTACAAGGAGAAGGGTTGGCACTTTTGCCACTGCAGCCGCCTTCCAACACCATGAGTGAAACTGTTGAGTGTCCATCCTTCCATGTGGACGGTAAGGTTTTTTTTGAAAACATCCTACACTCGATCAACCTCACATGTCCTCACCACGCCCGGACGAAGACCATCCCAAGTCGGGGCCTTCTTGAGTGGATGCTTGGGGGCTGGCGTGCTTGCGCAGGAGATACTTGACCACCTCCTAGCCGTTGGGCGAAGGCAAGGCGAAACGAAATGCGACACCGAAGGGAGACTGAACATTCTAACACCCCTTGATATCGAGGCCATCGCAGTGGGACCACCCCCACCCAGCCCCCGTCTCACTCCTGTTTGCCCTGCTCAGCGGCATAGAAAAGGGCTGTCCACCCACGAGAGTCCTTACCAATCTCGACACTGTGGAGGAACAGGATGGAGGAATGAAGGAATGAAGAACCATTTAGGCCTAGCAATGGCGCTCCAAGAAACTGAAGCTCGTTGCCGCACCTAACAGAACACCTCGATCTGAAGCTCGTTGCCGGGCGGCTAGCCGCCAAGAAGCTAATAGGAACAAGTGCATCGCTTCTAGTAACAAGTGCCTTACTAGTAGTAACAATGTTTGCTATTAATTTAATTCCAATAGCTTTTTGTTACTGCTAGTAAGGCACTTTTTACTACTAGCGAGGCACTTGTTACTTGTTACTAGCAAGAAGGGTCTGGGCCCCAGACCTGAAGTCGAAAGTCAGCTCGGGCCTCGCAGGCTGAGGGATCGTATCTACCTTCTTGCTTCTAGCAGTAAGGTCAGGAGCCCCTAGTAGCTTCTTGTTACTACTAGTAAGGCACTTGTTACTAGAAGCGATGCACTTGTTCCTAGTAGCTTCTTGTTACTAGCAGTAAGGCCAGGAGCGCCCCTAGTAGCGTCCTTGCTCCCAGTAGGTTGTGTCAAACCTCAGATGTTAGCAGAACAATACGCTCTCGGAACCTGCTCCAGCCTCAATTAGCAAGGCGACGATGCGCTCCGAGCCCTCCATGCAGGAGAGCCTCAAGGAACACTTCGACTCATGAAGATCGCTACTAGGAGCAAAGGCCATCGCTAGTAGGAGTAAGGACGCTACTAGGGGCTCCTGGCCTTACTACTAGGAGCCATTTCTATTAGATCATATAGAGTGTTCTTCTCCTCTTTTCCACCTACCTCAGTGAGGACAAACCACACAGCCAATGCCTTGGGCTCTGGCATCAGTGGCGTCCGCCCCATGACATCTTGGCTGTTTACCAGCGCTTTCGTCTGTAGGAGGAAACGGGAGGCCTCTGCTTCACCGGCACTGGCAGACTGTAACGGTGGACAAGACCATCACCTCCAACCTACTAGCGATGGCCTCCCACTAGGAGATCAACGAAAGATCTTGTCTCATAAGTTGAACAAGATTCAGGTGCTCAGATGAAATCTATCCAGTCATTAGTCGCTTCGCCCAGCCTCTAGCGCATCATTCCGACAGGAATGGGCCAAGGGTGTCCACCCTAAGCTGTCCTGGTATCATGAGTTTTTTGAGCCTAGCAGAGGATATGTTTACTAGTAGCTTCTTGTTCCTAGTAGCAAGGCCAGGAGCTACTAGTAGCTTCTTGTTCCTAGTAGCGATGCCAGGAGCTACTAGTAGCGTCCTTGCTACTAGTAGTAATGCACTTGTTCCTAGTAGCGATGCCCTTGCTACTGGTAGCGACGCTCGGCATTTCCCCAAAGAAACTGGGATATTCTATACCTTGAATCACCAACCAATTCCATTGATGCCTTAGATATTTGGGCATTCCATCCCCAACCTCCTCACGATATCCACAGTCTCCTTGTTCTCGATGCCCATCTTCGCATCAAGCAGGAACTGCAAACAATCGACCTTGAGACAAGGTCATGGGAGAAAAGGAAGGTCTGGAAGGTCATGGGAGACGGTCAAGACTAAAATCTATTCAAATCTCAAAAATGCTGAAAGATTGGTACTGCACTCAGATCTCACATTTTGTCTGTGGATCCAGGGTATCATCCATAGGGGATGGTCCGAACAAGACCCGATGGCCTCCAAGCAAATTCAGTTTGCCTGTGTGCGTGTGGGGGAGCACGAATATGTAGTGGGTGCTTCTTTCTACTTTAGGAAAGTCCCTTTGTGCTTCGAGACTCGTGGTGATCGGTTTTTGTTGCAGTTTGGAGGGGAAGCTTTGAAGGCGATGGCCTCCAACCTAGTAGCATCCTTGTTACTAGTAAGGCCAGGAGCTACTAGTAGCGTCCTTGCTCCTAGTAGTAAGGCCAGGATCCCCTAGTAG